AATTGCACTTCGCGTGTATGTTCGTTATTACTGTTTCAATCTGACATCTAATACTCGGGTACTGCGAGGATATTCGTAAACTGTAGTACAGAATATTCTATATGAACGATTATGGTTAATTTTGTGATTATAGCTGTATCACTGTTTGGATATATCACAGGAAATGTAATAATTGAAGTTCACATTCCCTTCCCATCCTTTTCTTATAATAAAAAGGCTGGGAATGTGAACGCGAACCTTATATTTATTTTTACCTTTTCTCGATACAGCATACTTTAGTTCGCAATTTCATTATATTTAAATGAAAACGGACTGGAGTTTTAAATTTAATTTTGTGGCCATTCGTTTAAACTGGCAAAAGTAGGTTAGTACTTTTTGTATTCATTGAATCCGCTTTTATTATTTTTGTTTCATAAAGTATTAGGTAGTATTGTTAAAATATATAGGCAGCTCTAAGTTAACATTAAAGAAACGTCGATATATATGATTGGGATACACCAAAAAAGGGAAGATATATAAAATAAATATACCCACTATATTTTGACTTAACATAATTTGGTTAATTTACAATATACAAGACTAGTTTTCGCTTGTGACTCCGTTGCTTGGAATTAAAAAAAGTAAGCCTATGCGTCCTTTGAGAGTTTGCTCTACATCTGCATCAAATTTCATTGAGATATATTGCTGAATTTAGGTAGTGAGTGAGTTTAGGCAGCAAACTCTAACATCCATCTATACGTTTTTGTAAAGTTAGTAACATTGAAGAAATCTCGGTAATGTGTAAATCAATTACATTAGTCTCTTGTTTGTCGCTGTACAGTTAAAGTATTGCTTGTGTCTTTTGAGAGAAACTTAAGTCTCTCACAAAGACTGTCTTTGTCTTCATGTAGAAGAAATGTCTGTACATTTTAATGTAATTTAATTAAGATGGAACACACTAGGGTTATCTATTGCTCTCACTGTTAAAGGAAAAAATCGTGATGCAACTTGCGCATTGGCGAAGATGTTCATAGATATGTGCAGTCAACCAACCCGCACTGGGCCAGCGTGGTTAAATGTGTTCTTGCGCCAACTTGTAGGCTCCATCTCCGGCTCCTCGTCGAATGCTCAATGACGACTTCCACTATCGAAAGCTCCTTTGATGATGTAATGTTAATCAATATTTATGACATCTTAGACAATTTATAGCACCTGTTACATTAAAAGTGTACGTCCTGTCAAGAAAAGTGCGGGACAGGCTGAAAACCAGCTCCGCTTGGCTTAGGTCATGCGGTACACGCTGAGCCTGTACCGCCCATTGTTGTCGATTTAACTTTTTTTTATTTAGCTCATAAGAAACTGTTTTTGTGACAACAATAAAAGTCTTTTTATTTGTTATTTATTTAAAAGTTTAGTGCAATTTGACGCTGTTAAAAAGCAAATGCTGTTTCATAACTAAATTCAAAAAATGTGTATTTTTTGACGTAACAATTTGAGAAAAATCGTTCTTTAACTTTAACTTTAAATTCACCAACTTGCCTATTCAAAATTAGCTACTGTTCAAGTTATTTTTATTGCGATACACAATTTCTTGTATGCAAATTGCAGTTTCGAAGTTTACTTTATGTAAATACAGCGCCTTTGTAAATTTAATCAAACGTTATAAAGTTTTCCTCCCCGAGTGCTCGAACTAATGAGCCTAATTATAACATACAAGGATCATCGACATGAAAGTTTACTCGAAGTCAATTAATTTCCTTTTGAGACCACCAATTAGTTCGATAAGAATTGGCTATCAATATTTTCAATATTAAAAATATTCACCGTGCATAAATTTATAACCTATATAGCCTCTCACTCCTCCTCCTCCTCCTCCTCCTCCTCTCACTCCTCTCACTCCTCTTTTCACTCTCGCTTGTGTTAAGGAGAAAATTAGTACCGTGCTGTAGAATTGGCGCAACACTAGATTATCTGCATAAACGTCACGTCCCTAGCTGATAGCTGTAAATGTCATGAGAAGGATTGATATTCGCGCGCATTCCTCACTCTCTCTAGTGCAGTGTTAAAATTAATATCGCTAGTTATAATTAGATTAATTGTTGAAAACTTGTAACGTATAAGGTGGGTATTATTAAAACATTGCTCCTAGAGATCATGGCGCTTACTGCAGACTAGCAAGGTCATCTGATAACAGACGTTCTCCTCCAGTATTCAAATCTTAAATCTATACTTATATTATAAAGAGGAAATTTTGTATTTTTAGATTTGTGTATGTATTCGTTTTACATAAAAACTACTGGGTGATTATTTAAATTCTTTTACCACCTGAAAGGTAGTTCATCTGTGCGTAACGAAGGTCATATATTTTTAATTTTACGCGGACAAAGTCGCGAATAACAGCTAGGCTTAAATGTTGTAATTGAATGTTTTATTTTTTCTTTTAAAAGAACATTCTACGAACATAATAGAGATTAATTAATAAGGGCGAGCCCTTTAAGAGTATAGCGTAGTCTGTTCTTGCTATACTCTGTGTCAAATTTCATCGACATCCGTTCAACGGTTTAGGCGGCAAACTAACTATATATCCATTTAAACTTTATTACTATATAGCTAAGATTGTTTTACGTATATTTAGATGATCACTTAGTATGTACATAGTTATAAAATTACTTTAGAAATGTTTGTTATCTATAGTAATATTCTAAAGAGGAAAGATTTGTATTTTCGTATGTATTGAAATAACTCAAAAACTACTGGGTCGATTTTATAAATTCTTTGACCTTTAGAAAGGTAATTTATCTGCGAGTAACATAGGCTACATTTTTTTTATTAATTTTTAAGTTCACGCGGGTGAAGTCGCGAGAAACAGCTAGTTATTAGTATGGCAATAACTTTTGAGTAGTGTGGAAATCTAAGTACTATTGGCAATTTTAGGTCAGGACTTTATAGTTAATACTTACTATCCAAGTCTAGTTCGTTTCCTTTAGTTATATCAAAAGACGTTTATTCCAAAGCTCTTTAAAACATATTATAAAAGTTAGCTAAAACTCTCGACGATCAAGTCTCATTTAAACTTCAGAGTTAACAACTTGTGTAACTTTTAACGTTGGAAAATTTATTGCATAGTGAATTTTCTAGATGTGTAAGGTTTTAATACTTTTATAATTGTTTTCTTGTGTTTTCTCTTAGGATAATAGTTTCATTTAAATAGAAAATTAATTATTCAGAATTTCAATAATGAGTAGAGTTTACACTTATCGAGTACGAGTATTTTTGTGTCGTAAAAGTTAGGTTTTCTGTGTAATCTTAATTTGTATTTTCCCTGTCGAGTGAGGAGGTATTTTGAAATGAAACAAATGCAATTTACCGTCTCGAAACGGCCTACGCTATATTTAAATAATTTAAACACTACATTTTTTTTTAATTATCATTCGTTAATATCTGAACAATACAATATTTTCTAATTATATATGATAAAAGTATCTACCCACTAATACATCGATATATTTGAAAACTACGGAACGATTGAACAACTCTTCTACTCTACGAAATAACAGGAATATAATGTTAAAAGTGACTATATCTACGATACATTATTTGAATTTTAAACTTTTTTTTAAATCTTATCGCTTCATTCGCGTAACATCTAGATTTCAAAACATCCTATAATATGATATTAAAATTGTAACTTGAAATTGATTGAAAATTCTCTACCCACTACGATATAATTTTAAAACGCCTTAAATGTTAATATGATCACCCATAATCGAAGGTGAGCGACAAAAGCATGAATGCGACGCGAATCTAAAATATGACATTGTTGTTATATGTGACAAGAACTTCGCAATAGATCGCGCATGGATCCTAATGTATCGCGTTGCGTCGCATCCCGTCGCTCACCTAGGACGTTGGGTTAAAAACCTTATCTCTACTGCCTAATTATAGGCGAATTCAAAATGTAAGATTAAAATAGCTTTTTTTTGTATTTTTTTAAATTTGCGTCAATAAATCTTATACAAGCTAAGGGGAATCGTTAATCCTTTAACGTTTGCAGGGACCACTCAAGCGGAAAGAATCGAACATTTATAATAATGGTTAAAATTTTAACTCTTAGTACAGTACAAGATAATAGGGCTTGTCGTATTCTGTCCTGCCGTTAACTAGTTGGTGATACCGTTGCTGTTTTAATTATTGGGTATCGCGACACCCACAATCAAAGGAAAAGTCCAACGGCCAATTCGGGGCTCAAATGTAACTAAAAAGTTACTTAATGGACCCCCAATCATTTTCAATCCCGAGTCTAATATTAAACCCTTTGACAGGCTACCTTTACAAACGACTAAGCTTTCATTACCCAGTTCTGTTAGGAAGGTTTACACGTACATTCCTTTGTTCAGATGCATCCGAACTACTGAAGCTAACAAAACTCATTTCAAAATAAGTTATTACATAATTATGTATTTTATAATAACTTATTTTCAACATTCTTTACCATTTTCTGATACCTGTAGCATTTTATCGAATCTGTATGAATGATATCTGTTGTGAGAAAAATGAATCGCCCGAAATATTGTATGATGCATGATTGTCAAATATGATGACATATGTGATAAAAATAATGAAGGCTAGTTTTGATATCGAAATGAACTTTGCCTATATGTATATTTAAACTAAAAGAAAACAAAAATGTATATCATATTTTAGTTATAAATATATTGATTTTAAATCCGAATATTTGATATATAAATATATGTTTTTTATTTTATAATAGGTATAATAAAAAAATAATTTCATGAAGAAGTACAGTAACAATGTAGAGTATAAATTTTGAATTCTTTTTTAATTTTGTTAAAATATTGATTATTCTAAAGCGCTCTTTATATATCTAAAATTGCCTAATTTGTACGTTTTTGAATCTATTTTTCGGTTTTTATTATTTTAATGAAAAGGAAAAATGGATAGAAACTTTTTTTTTTAATTTTGATATTTCTTATTTTACTAAAATTGGCTTGGCCTAAACATTTCTCAAAATAATTTTGACTTGCTTCTTACAAAAATATACAATTTTAGGGTTTTACAAATCGTTTCATCATGCTTGGAAAAAATATCGATTTTTTGTCCCATTGGCTTTTTTATTTTTTTTTTATAAAAATTTTGACAAGAACGAATTGAAATCATACTTTTAACCTTCGTATACTCGCGCATTCGTCTGACAGAGCGACAAATGGATCATCCGATTTTTTTTGAAGTTAAAGACGAGTCTGAGGTCTTGAGCAGCTTGTTAATATGTTGTTAGGTTTTGTTTAGTGTGCTGTTGTCAAGTGACCTTTAATCTGTAAGACTGCGTGATCTAACTATTTAGGGCAAATAACTAATATTGAATTCCGGTGATTAGTTTAATGGTTACAAGATTTGAGTACTTTTTGCTTAGTTTTAGTTTTTGAGGTCGTGAGTGCTGACGGTAGAATTGAAAAATGTACAATTACATATTAGGAATATATAAAGTAAACCCTCCCCTAGAGAATACAAAAATGTAAAAAATTATATATATTATAGTTATATAAAAATGAATACAAATGTATACCCCCTCGATCATTTCCCTTCCCCGCTAAATAAACGGCTGGCGAAACCCATGTTTTGTATAATAGAATCACATAGAGATGAAATCTCAGTCTGCGACGTCATGCTCGAATATATGAAGGTTTGTTCTTAACGTTCCAAATGATTTTATAATTTTCAATTTAACCAACTTAATATCAAATAATTGAGACCATTAAACGATATTTTTTCTTTCTGTTTGGATTTGCTTCTGTCCGTTGTGTATTTTTGTTAATACCGCATGAAGATGGGAAAATTCACAATTTTTGTGAGCGAAATCAGGACCCGAACCGCAAGAAAGAGAGCTTTAGGTACGATTGCTCAATTTTTTTCTGATGTTACATGACTTTTTCAGAAAGACATTAAAAAATATTAAATAAACAATTAAAATAACTAAAGATGATGGTAAATATTGATGGTTTTAATTTTGATGGATGATAATTTTTGAATGAATAATGGAAAGATAACATTATTTTGATCTTAATCCTTGCTCTGGCTACAGATACGAATCCTTGGTGTCAGTGTCGGCGGGCGGTACGCCGGCTGCGGACATCTTGCGGCGTTCGAGACGCGCGCGAGATACCGGCCGGTAGTACTGCTCGCTGCGACGCCGTCATCGTTCTGGCGCAGGCGTTTCCGACTCCAGCTCCATCCATAACGAGCTGATCACACGTGCTTCTACACCAAATAGAGAGACTTTCTTAATTCGTATACTTTAACACGTTCTATGCCAAGTCCCCGTTAACCTCAAAGGGGCATTGAACTGGTCAACTTGATACCCCTTAAAATATTTATGCAAAATCAACAGGACATCTCGATTGTCTTTAGTATAAATGTACCGAAAATTGTGGAGAAATAATTTTTTCCCAAAATTGGTCAACAGCTGGTATCTATTGTCTTTTTTGATCAACCTACAGTTTAGGCAACAATTATATGAAAAAAAAATTGAATTTACCTAATCTTGGTATGTTTAAATACTGATATAATCTCACGTCAACTAACTTACCAGGTTTTTCTTCAACAGTTGGCGGTGCTTCAGTAGCTTCTTCAATGCAACTATTTGCATCTGGGAATTGTACGTGTTTTTTTACATGCGATCGAGATGTTTTTGGAAATGTGGAAGCTGCGAACAATAATATGTCATTTAACAATTGATACAATAAAATTATTCAAACATTATGTTAATTACTTTTATAATTTATAAATTGTCAAACGTCAATGTTGCGTGTCATATATTTAAAGTTTCCTATTAAAAGAAAAGTATAAAGCTTTGCAAGAAAAAGTTGTTGCAAAAGATTTACAAAAATGTCGCTTTGTTTGTGCAAGATGTGTCTAGAATAAGACAGTTATTTATATATATCCATCCGCTGATCGCTGATATGATAAAATAAATATTAACCATAATGTGAATTTTATAACATACCATTCTTTGCTTGGACCTCGGAATGTTCCTCGAGATCACAGCGACTTGGGGCTGGTCTGCCAGCAGATCGACGACGGCCACTTGGTGCCGAACTCGTGGTGGTGGTGTGTTGGGCCGTCGCCGTGTATTGGACGCTGGCGAGCTATACATTAAAAAAAGATTAAAAGTATTCAACTCTTTTTCCACAAAACAACATTTAACTAAGTACGGACGGGCAAGCTGGTTATACTACTGTTTATTTTTATAAAATTGCATTGAATGGAAAACATCAAACACAGTTATGGAGACTGAGATTCGAACTCATTCTTCAAAATAGGTTTGGTCTCTAGGTTCTCACAACGTAGTTTACATAACAAACCCCTAAAGGCGAATTCACATACCCCTAATTATCCTCTTAGTCATAAATTAACCTTAGTCACTTCAGTTTTAGAAACAAATTGAAATTTAAAAAATGTACTTTCTTCGGATAAGAGATAACCATTTTCAAAAACATGGAAATTGTCCTTTATACCAGTTATCTAAGTCGGGCTAAAAGAGTAAGTTATGGCGATCATTACAAAAAATAAGAGACGCGGCTTAAGAAGGAAGAGTACACTCATGTATACATTTTTTATAATGTATCAGTATACATGCTGAATTTAATTTCGTCTACACTTGAATACGTTAAGGATTCTCCTTATTCAATTAAACCAGACTTTTTGTTAGTAATGGCTGCATTATGAAAAAAAAAATCTCGGTTTTCCTCAGCTTGTAAATATTAGAACTTAATATTATCGTTGACTGATTAGTGCCAGTAAGTTAAATACTTTAAATTAGGTCACTACTTAAAGACTATTTACTTAATTTTCCTTAAATATCGTATTTAATTTTTTTTATTTTCATTCAAAATTACTATTTTTATTACAGCTGAAATAAAGCCAGTGCATTAATTGTAATTTATTCTTAGAACCATTATAAGGGTTCTCTAATCGTACGAAAATATTTGTCTCTAACAATTATTTCACCAGTGAAACAAATTCTTCTTTTTGCCCGACTTAAATGTTGCCCGTCCGTAATCTATTAGACAATTCTACGATTATTATAAATACAGTACTACGACTGGATTCAATTCATTTTTCACTTTAATCGATCTCGTAGCAGCTTCACTGAAATGTGCAAGACTTTTATTTGACAGTTTTGCACAAGAGAAAGAAGTGGTCATTTGAAAGTTATAGACTGAAAAATGGAGTTAAAAGTTGGAATTCAGAATTACTTTTTTGCACATCATTATACAAGTAAGATGAAGTTCGTTATCAAATTCGATTTTTCAAATTTATTTTATTTATTGTTTTTTTTTTGTTACAAAACTTTGTTGGTATTAAATATTTAGTAAACATTATTTTTGGTTGAAAGTTATAGTGGTAAAGCTTTTCGTATCCAACAGATTAACAAATACAACTTTTTTTTTTTTAATTTTTAAAACCTGTTAACAGGAGCTACAGAGATTGATTAAATATTAAATTCAATTCGCCATGTATTTTTACTATACGACCCTCTTTGCAAACTAGTCAGAAAACTTTTCTGTTATTATTATTTCTTTTTTATTATAATTAAATACTAGACAATTATTTCTTTTAATTTAAATTTTCATTTATTGTACATTTATTACTATTAATAATATAAAAATCGTTGTAAACTTAAAGTGTCCTGGTAAATTTTTCCTTAGTTTATTTCCGAGGTTTTTTAAGGGTATTGTAATATACGCATCGAGGGTCGTATAATCTAAATCCAATCACTAAGTACCTAACTATATACAACTGTAAATGCAAATAAAATAGTAAATAGTATTTCCACATTCAATGAAGTAAAAACAAAAATTGAGTAAGTAGTAAATAGCAAAATTATATTAAGGATATATATGTATATATCACGTCTTAATATACATATATATATTTATTTTATATATACCCATATGTGTATTCATATATAGATATATATAAAATTTAAATCAATCCAACATAGTCTAGATTTTGCCAATTAGTAAATATTACATTACATTATGTAGTATCTTAGAATTCTGTACTGTCCTGTCAGTTGGATTAATCTAAAAAAAATAAAACATCAAGATGATTTGTAATTAGCCTTCCTTACGAGAGAGACGTCTCTCTTGTTCGGTGGCGCTTTCTAAAGATGTACTATGAAAACGAGAAATTACACATATTAGAACATGTTATTAAAATCACCTATCTATATTATATAAATTTAAGGGACAAATGTTACAAGAATTTTTAATAAAAGGATCAATTAACACAGGCAATTTACAAATGACATCAGACTATCGTCTGTCATATTATGATTTCACTATCTTTTAGTCGTTAACGAGCTTACGAGAGTGCTGGAAAATTAATTATTGTTGTTGACAAGTTTTACTTTTTATCAAGACTTGTTTTTAACTCATTGAACGTGACTTAAGTATGTAATATTATACAAAAACTAATCCGTCTTATTATAAAGATATCTTTAACAAGATTATTTTGATTAACGTTATTTGACTAATTGTTTAATATAACTGTGAAAGTTGAAGATGTAAGAAGGTGTCTTCGTATCTCCCTAATAAATCTAGATAAAATGGCGCAGTAGTAAAACATGGTTAGGAAGAAATCGGCAAAGGCTTTTTTAAATTCCGCGCTCTTGAAGTCTCAAAAAGTAGTGTCTAAGAAATCTTCTCTTGTAATATTTAAATATTTATAATACGCAAAAACTTGATTATTAATGTTAAATGGGCATATGTGTATGTAAAGCTTTGTAACTACAAAAGCTAAATATGCAATGATTTAAAAAATTGCAAAATGCCATGTGAAATAGTTAAATAATATAAAAATATTACATATGCCTCCTTATACTCGTAATTAATTGAAATGTATTAGATGTCTTTAAATGCTCTAAAACGTAATCGTCTTCAAAGTTCAAAAATACTTCATGTTTAGAAAGTAGTAAACAATCCTTATTATTTTTTTATAAGAAGACGGATAGGTTTACCCAAGAGCGTGCGCACACCTTTGACTGTACTATCGCCCAACAGTTGTGCGATTGTCGATTGTTACGCAGCCCATTCAATTGTTTATTTACTTATTCTATTTTTAATTTTATTTTTATGTTGATCTTAAATTGCACAACTAAAGATCGAATAGTGTGCGCACCTCTATGCTCAGGAATCAAAGCGGTACTAAACAGTTATGCGATAGTTTGGTCAAAGGAATGCGCACGCTGTTATAGTTTGTCTATTTAAGGGTTGGTTAGTTTAATAAATCACGCATATAAAGTATCGAATACAATTAGTATAATGATAAATTTTCGGTTTCATCTCAAAAGTATCTAACTAAAATTATTATTTACTTATTAATTAAATTAAGGGACATATTCATATATACACATGTAGTGATAGCGATGAGAATGTTAGTAACGAATTCCATTTAAATTAAACACAACAGTATTGATAATAAGTATTCATTAAATCTGTCTTTGGTCTGTATTTCACATTATTGATTTGACTCAGAGTAACCGAATGAAAAAACAGATATAACTCTGAATCTATCCATTTCAACTTCTATGAGAGCAAAAATTGAAAATCTAAAAAGACTCGAACCTAATTTAACACAACCCATCCCTAGTATGTCAAATAAATCGTCGAATTTATCATTCTTATTAAGAGCGTGCGCACACTATTGACTAAACTATCATATGGAGGTACATAGATCTTTTAGCGTCCCGCGATTTTGTGAAAATAAAAATGTCAATTGAGCGTAAAGGTAATAGTGACTTGTCTGTTTACTTCGCGTCAATTCTTTATGCGATTTGTGTGGTTTTTTAATGTTATTCCAAAAAACATTAATGAAAGTATTGGAAAGTAGAATAAGAGAGTTTTTTTTAATTGAGAGACATTTTTATCACTGAGAATAAGTAGCGGGTTCAGTAATTACATTTGGAAATTTGGATCATCTTGTTTCTATTGCAACGATGTGTTCCCATTTGTTAATTCAGAAAATTCCCCAACTCCCAAGGGGACGCATGCATAATTTGTTTAGTTTTGTAATTTCAAATTGCTTTATCTAAATTGACATAAGTATTTCGATGATTTGTTTTTTTACCCATTCATTTCAAATTGCAGTGACCGAATCCATAGTTGTAACGTATTTTGTGCAACTGGAAGTATCGCTTTCATGACATAAAATCCACAGGTTTTTTAGTTTTTAACCTATATGTTTACTTTTGTTCTAAGGAAATTATTGTGTTTACTTTGAAATATAACAAGAAACAGGCTGTCGAACGATTTTATAACGCATCGTCGACCCTCTGCACTGGATACACCCTTTAGTTTTTACTATGCGTTGATTGTAAGCAAAAACCATTGACATTTCTATTACTCTCTAGATAAGCACTAAGTAAGACAATTTCCATTATGTTAAGGCAACTCTTTCCCTTACTGTCTAAAGAGCATTGCTGAAAGTTTGCTACAAAAGTTCTGTAACTATAGAGTCTTCTCCCCGACAAACGAAGTCAAGAGCATTTCCTTGTTACATTGTAAATTTGAGATTTTGTTTTCAAAAGGAAAGAATTTCCCTTTAATGTGTAAATTTTATCTTGCTGGTAACCCTAAATGCTCAGAAGCGACCCCTTGTCAACGTCAAAAAGATGTAACAATATTATTGTGGGATTTTACAACTGTTGTGATGTTGTCGATTGTTTCGCAGCCAATTCAAGTGCTTAGTTGCACAACTAAAAATCGGGTAGTGCGCACCTCTACATAAGCTCATAGGAAGCGAGACTAAACAGTTGTGCGATATTTTAGTCATAAGGTGTGCGCACGCTCTTAGACAAACTATAACTAACGCTTCATTGCTAAATTTTTAAGATAGGTTGTATCAATATTCACCCGGTCGTTGGTGTCGAAAGCTGCGGTGCCGCGGCCAGCGAGGTATTCCTGGAACTGGGAAATGACGCAGAACATCGTGTAAACCTGTACGGACAAAAAAAGTTATCACACCCACAAAATTAAAGATGGACAGTTGTAACTAACAACATGTTCATAAGTTTTCTTATTACTAAAAAGAAAATTTTAATTCATTTTACGCGCATAACTTAGTGTACTGAAACATTGTTGTTTCCAAACTCTAGACGCATCACTATTTAATTACCCTACGAGAGAAATTAATAGCCCTTTACTAGACAACAGGCAGTAAAAACGCTGAAAATACAACAGAATCCGATTCAATTTGAAAACCGGAAGTAATTTGTAACCGAGTTTAAAACTTGATTTCCTTGAGATAGGAGAACGATCTCGAGCCTTATTTAACTTTTTTATAAACTGAATATTTTCTTTATGAAGTGTATTAAAAAAATCATCTGGACCAATGCAAGAGGCATTATTAACACTTACACACACACACACACACACACACACATTTAATAATTACTTTGGGATAGAAAGGACTCACAAGACAGGACACACATGTATTCTATGCAGCCGTAATAGTAGCATGAACAAGATTAAATTGTATGGAGTGTAGACAGGACATATGCAGGGTTGCGGTCACGCTTCCATCAAGCAGACAATATCCAATCTACTATAGGCATATTGGAAAGTGAATATGACTAGAATCAATAAGGAGACTAATTTTGTTGAATAAAGGCTGTTTCCATTGATATTAATAATATGAATAGCTAAATCTATTACGTGGTAGTGAGTTTGAGTCGAGCCGTTTAATTAATTTGTGAATATCCTAGCAACTACAAGACTAGAGCATAATAAAGAGCGTAACAAGTTTTAACAGACTTATTATGTTTTTTCATTCTAGGAAAAAATATGAGTGTCTAGACTGATTGTATTTTTTCAACTTCTATTTCTATATATAAAGACTTCATTATGTGTTTGCATGATGTTTTTCGCCCTTGAAAATGTACTACAAAGGCTTAAAGAAATTCATGCTCAGTGTAGACTCTTCAACAACACATGTTTAGTTATCATATTTTTGTCATATCTAAGTGTTAATATGCTTGGATATAAATGCGTTCCGTCTATCTACCGGCTAGTCTAAGTATTCTCAACTTTTAAACTGTTCAAACAGATAGTTTCAAAGTTATGCGCGTCGAGTATGCCTTTGCCGACGACCTTTGTTTACCACTGCGAGAAAAGTGATGCAAAAACACGACATAAAGTATTATAAATATTGTAATAAAAAATTATAATGCACAATAAAATATTATCCACAATAACCCCCTAAATCGGTGATAACGTAAACTTAATCTATATTAATATTATAAAGAGGAAAGATTTATATTTTTGTATGTATAGATATAACGCAAAAACTACTGAGCCGATTTTATAAATTCTTTCACCGTTAGAAAGGTAATTTATCTGTGAGTAAAATAGGCTATATTTTTTAAGTAATAAAATACTATATACTTACGTTCAAGACGATGATGAAAAAGTCCAGGGTGAACAGGAAAGCAGTGATAGGATTGAAATTGAACTGTCGAAGAAAAATTCCCATTAATAAATATGCCTTTAAAAAAAAAATATCTTTTAGAAACCCTTAAAGTTCTAAAAATCGAAGTAAAATTCCGAATATCATTTTCTATTTGTTCCACAATTTATGTAACAATTGACATGAGATGGAAAAAATTGGGGCCGCGAGTTTATCTTCTGGATGAGGAATTAGGTCGCGTTTGTCGATTCACCGCATTTACAACTTCATAGTTTACCATATGTACAAATAATATCAACAATAATTTCTAGTTAAAAAAGTAAAAAAATCTTCATTGTCATATTTCGGAACTGTATATTAGAATAATATCCTTAATATTTTCAAGATATAAAGACGATTTTATTGTAAATATTTATAAATGTAAGAGTAATAAAAAACATATTTTAAGTACAAATTTGGTCACAGCATTAGAAAGCTAAACAAATTACGATATCTTTATTCAAGGCACGACGAAAACATTTACTTAAAAAGGAAGTATTTTTTTATTACTTTTATTGAATTTTACTACAAAAAATTTGCCCTTATTTTATTTTTCTATTGAAAATTACAGTTTCAAGTATGTGTCTACTAATTTTGCTTACTTTTACAAACTCACGGCCTTGACTATTTTTTTATATTTCTGAAACTGTAATTACATTTGCAGCAAAACGAAATTCTGCTTATTTAGACTTGTCCAAGGATTATTTACAGTCGATTTCAATGGAAGTGATAAATCATATTTAAAAATGGAACTAGATGACAATTTTATTTATAGTCTATGGATTTTAGAAAATCTGAATATTTATCTCTTTTAAGACCTTATGTAATTCTTATTGTTGTATGTATCAATTTATTAAGTGACATATCGCATCTTTAATGTTGTATAACCAAAGTCACATGGTCGAACGCACCACCGCCTTATTCTGTTGGTATTTCGGGCGCTTGACCGGAGGCAGCCTCTATCGATTTTATTATTTATTTTTGAAGTGAATGTAGGTTGTTAACGATTTCGAATTATGTGCCCTTTTGTAATTGATACTATTTTAAAAACTGGCATATGTTTATACATTTTTTAAAAATAATTGGTTGAAATGTGAAATTTAACTAAATTGATAGTCTGTCTTACTTTGTATGTATAGCACAGAGATGAAACTTACGGTCTGAAGGTAGAAGAGGTAACCCAGATTGATAACTTCGACGAGGGTCTCCAGAGCCATAGAGACGATCCAGGGGAGGAGCAGGAACTTCTTGTCCTGTAACATGTGTCTAATTTAGTTTTATAGCTCGTCCATAACAAAAGCTATAGACCGCCAAAATGGTACTGAAACGCATGGTGAGAATATTTTCCCTAAATTAAAATGGAAGCTTATTTGAAAGCTTTTTTTTATTTTGGAAGCTTTGTAGCTGCATGATACTAAAACACATGTATTTTTTCGACTGTAGTCGTACGAAAAACCAGATACATATGATTTTTGAATCGAGCCGTGTTCTTTATAACCTTTCTATGAAGCTACATTTTTTCTTGTGATTAAAATTGATGTTGTTAACTTTAATAAATAAATAAATTTTCTTGGTTAATCCTTATAGAAACTTTAAAAAAAAAATCACTTGTCTTTATTTTAAAAGAACACTAAACTGTGAGGTATCAAAGTTTAAATGTACCTTCAGACATTATAGGTATATAGGTCTGATTATCTTTAAAGAAAAATACATAAGTTTGTGTCGACACAACAAAGAGGTCAGCATGTTAACAAGCGATGGTGTGAGCATAGTGCCGTCGACATTAAATAATACCTCTTTTGTATAGAAACCAGTTCACTGGTTAAATACAAAATGTCTTTTTTTTATCAAGCGTATCGCGAAAACTTGGTACCTTTAAGGAAATAACACCAATGGGTGGATATTAAATTAAAAACAATTAAAAGTATTGTGAATAAGTTCATAAAAGTATTATTTATTGAATATAAAAAAATAGTTTTAGCTAATGGGTGAGTCCTATAATATAAGACGATCTTTATAAATTAATAAAATTATAAAAAATAAAAAATGTATATATGTAATGTATGTAAATTTTGTAGTAAATAATTTTGAATGTAGATACGATTAAATGTTGTGAAACACAAATCGAAAGCTTTGGAATTCGTTCGATCGTGCTCAAAGGACTTCCTGACAAACCAATGCACAGTGCAATGTTCCGGCTGTTGTTTACAATTCGAGGAAGGCTGGCAATAACACGTGTACAACACCGTATATTTATATTAACAGTCAAATGATTTTATTTACCTTTCCATATACCAAAGCTACTGCAATTCCAAAGTGGAAAGATTTGTATTTTATTTATGTATTAAATAAGTTTAAAATTTCTGGTCCGATTTCAAAAATTCTTTCATTATTAAAAAGCTACGTTATCAGTGAGAACATACGCAATGTTTTTTTATTATTTTTTAATTTCACGCGGACGGAATCGTGAGCAACAGGTATCGTTAATAAATTAATTTTATTGATAACAAGAGTTTACAAATATGCCTCGTTTTTGGTAAAGAAAATTAAGTTACCCAGTAATAGAACAATGTGATATAGCGTGCTTTACTAAAAACAAGTCATCTCGCTCATTATCTTTGAAAGAACAAAGATAGTAATATGTTATTGAAGAGAACATAAGTTTTTGACATTGTGACTGTCAAATAACGTTTCACTGAAATGGGTAGGAAATAAAATCCTTCGACTGTACTCACCGTGTAAACGCCAACGATCATGAGGATGCAGGAAATGAGTCCCAGAGTACTGCAAGCCAGCAGCGTGATGTTCAAGGAAACGGTGACTGTAACAAAATAATTCAAAATTCACGTACACTGTAACAATTGATTCTTAAAGATGAAGTCTTGAATGTGAAGTTTCCCAAATTCCTTCGAAAGACGTCTCGCTTCTGTAAACAGTACTAACATTTAGGTAACAAAAAGTGTGCTAATGCCTCAAAGGCTCGTATCCAATTATACGCTAATGCTAAATTGCCATCCGTCACATAATACAACTAATAAATAAAAATAATCATAAACTTTCTATCTACGTAAATGTTATAGAAGTAATAAATTAAAACAGCCATGCCCGTAAGAAAGCTAAAACAGAAATTTAATCAGTTAAAGTAATCACAGAACATACGCCAGTATTTCAAATATCAAAGTCTAATAACATTTTAAAAAATTTCAATTAAAAAGTGAAACAAACACCAGGCGTAGTTCAGCGATTCATTTTAAATAAAATGAAGCATTTTGAAGCTAAAAACTGAAACTCGACAATGAACTCTTTCATTAAATGCAAATTCAGTTGAACATGCCCATTGTCAGTTTATTTGCAAAGCTCGGTACAGCAAACATACACTAGCATGCTGTACATATTGTGAATATGATATACTAACTATATGAATAAAGATATTATGATCCAACAACACAGAAGCAATGGTTTGAAAACATTATTTCGTAGTCGTTCGTAAGGTCTCTATAAAGACGTTTGGTCAGTCTTGTTGATTGGTCTGAGTCCCTTCGTGTAGATTTAGTACACTAAGTGATTAAATCTACACTCAGGGTCTAACCATAAAGATTTAGCGTTAAATACATTGTAGCTTAAATATACGTCAACCCTTTTATCGCACGTTGATATTAGACGTTACCGTGATTAGCGGCAGGCGTGTGTTTGTTAAATCATGGTTATTGAAACATTATGCATACGCCTGAGATACTATCTTGACAAATAATTAAGTACCTATTTCGAAAGCAGAGTGGTGATACATGTAGAAAAATAATATAACCACGTTGACGTCAATAATATCAATCAGCAACAAAGAGTTAAAACACGTGTTAAACTATAGTTTTAAAAAAAGTAAACGTTGATATACGTTTGGGCGTATAAAGTTACTGTTTCTAAATAACTCTGAGTGTCATAAAATACGCACTTAGTAGCAAATTTCTAAGATTATAATTTGGAATAGCTTCATTACCTTGGAGTTTAGATATACTTACGACAGATCCGCTTTGTCCAAGTTAAGTTGTTTTAAATTCATTGTATCATGCATCCAAGGTATGTTAACGTAATTTCATCCAATTATGATAACGTAAAATTATAGCAACAAATAAGTTTGTTGTTTTAACATGTAACTGTTTGAACCATCTGCCTATTCGATGTTGCTTGTGTTTTAGAAGTTAAAATTAGTTTTTCCTCAAATCCTGTGCGCGATAATTGAGTCCTGTTAGTCTGTAACTTTAGATTGGTGAATAGACAGATTTAAAGAATTGTATGTGCTTAGATTAACAATTATGTCGTTAAAGATATATTGAAAAAGTATATTATGACTCCTATTCGTATTGTCGCTACTGTGACTGCATTTAAACCTCTACTTACCATATACATACCTAAGATAGGCTATACACGGTCTATATCCAATAAAGACAGCTTCAAGCGGTTGTGGATGGGCGATCAGCATTTAACGATCACCATACCCGAACCGCTGAATGGGGCTGAACGTACGCTGACCCCATTATCAGTCCGTGTATGGCCGCCCTTATCTGACTTTTACCTGAATTCTTAATCTAGTCAAGTATGTCTCCTTTAATTTTCCTTTATCGACTAATGTAAATAATAAGCAAAATGTGCGGCATAATACTGAAATGACATATAAATTTGAAACAGTCTTTCTAATGATAAAGCCTGGTTCAAACTTCAAATTATCTTAAAACATCGACGTCTGACAGATTGTAAGACGCTTACGAATCGAGGTGTTTAAGGTCACTTTCAGTATTAGATTTGTAGTCAATTTGGAGTTTTCGATATAATTCTGTTCTTTAATGAATCTTTATTAAACATGTTACCTAATTCAATGATATCGAAAGAATGTTAATGGTAAATTCCAAGGTATAATAAATATGGAAAATGATACCGTTTGAACCCTGCCATCAAAAGCGAACCTGAATCGATAATAAGCAGAACACGAAAGAACTTAGCAAAAACGAAACATTTGCTTCGCTTTTGCTAAGTCTAACAGCTACACAATATTGATGTAGACATTGGGTTCGTTTCGGTTAAGGTTAGCTTTAGCGGCTCATATAATAGGTACTTACACACCGTTGCATGTTCTGTATTATTTTATATATAACAATATATTTTGAGCACACAGATCATTTTATGACATGCATGCAGAATGATTGCATGGTATATTCTCATCATGTTCATGAAAATATATATGGCCGTATTTCAAAATGTATCTATGTTGTACTACGCGTATGAAATAATGTGTGAAGTAAAGCAGATAGATTATGAAAATCAATATATGAATGGTACAAGTAGAAATATGTCATCCTTAATATGTTTTATAGTAAAATATAAAAGAACATACCTAGGGGATATTTTAGGAATGAGCGCCGGATGTAGCTGGGACTCCTCTTCTCTATATACCACAAGAGCGCAGTCAGGCGGAGCATTTCGCCGAAGGTGACATTCGCCGCATCTTTGGTGTAGTACAGAACTGGGAAAATTTCACTTAAATTTGTATCTGCACTTGAGCGAATGACACAGTGAAAAATAAAGAAGTTGGCGTGTCAAAGCGTTACTTACTGATGTCCAGAACGATTTATGGAGCCCACGATATTATAATTTTTGAAAAGATCTAGCCCTTATTAAACTTGAATGTCCAATAATAAAATAACCCTGATTCGATAATAATAGTTAAAATACGCGTCTTTTATTTACAATGATAATTCTAATCGTAATGTATACCAATTGTGTAATCGATACTTGGGTACAAAACACGTCAACTTCGAGTCTTTATCAATCGACGATTCTTGTCGTTTGATGAAGGCTGGACAGAGAAAGAAACAGGCAAGTTGATATTTTATAATCATTCATGTTCATAAATTTAAAATCTCTTTACGTATTATACTTAGGATTTACTGTAGTTTTTTATGTAAACATGACTCTTAAGTCACTTAGTAAAACAATAGTCGACTTCGTCTCAGTAGGAGAAACAACCCTATAAGAGATCTTGTTTGCAACGATCCTGGTCCAACGTTATCAGAGAACATTTGAAAAGAATTCAAAATGATGATTGAAAGATTATTTAAAAAGGTCAGGGAGATATGTTGATAATATGTAAAAGAGGAATTGAAACATTGCCTTCTACCGTTACCGTAAAAATACGAGTACTCTTTTCAAATAAGAATGTGAAGGTGTATTTTCTAATATTCAGAGTTCAACCAACATACCTTCATATCTAAGGAATTACCGTTTCATTGAGAAGACATGAATAACGACCAAGTAAATGTAAAATAATCTGACACTTCCAAAGAGAGTAGTTTCTGATAGACCGTGGGATATGCTCTTAAAGACGTAGAAAAGGAAAATTCCTTGAATTACAAATTGATCTGAGACTGAGAAGTGGTAACTCAATTCGAAGAAGCAATTAGTTCTGACTATTTCTAGTTAATATTCTTGAGAAAACAGAATTATGAACATAATTCCTTCATAAAAGGAAGATGCCTTTTCATATATAAATATGAATACTAAGAAAACAAGCTAATTGGCGTATCCATTTTAAGTAGCCACTCTAAGAGAGAAATGTTGTTTCCTAAAGATTTTCACCATAATATCTTTCGTGGAAAATGCTCAAACGACTACATTTTCCGAAAAATATCCTTCCATTTTATCACAAAAAATAATTTTATAATGAATTTTCGTTAATGTTTCTTATGTCTCTTAAGTATAAATAACATAAACTATAAATTTAAAAGTACGATGAGATAAATAAATTATGAATAGTTTCAACATAGTAGATAAATCATTAAAATATGATAGGATGTTGTACGAATCAAATATTTTTTTTTAAATGAATAAAAAACGTTTGATGTCGAATGAAAATTTTTAATAAGAATTATTTTAGAATAAGAAAAACTGAAACATATAGAAAAACCTAGCTTTAGAGCATTTTCTGGGTTTAAAAGATTGAAATCTTTGTAATTAGGACGGTCAAATTAAGCAAAATTAAGGGTCACGTTACAAAAAATTCGAATAGAGCTGAAAATTGGCAGAAATGTCGGATTACCATTTTGTGTGAACCCTGAAATATCTCTATCGGTCCCCTATTTTAGAATTATTCTTCCTTTGCATGTCTTAATTAAGCGGTCTAATAAATTTTTATATAAACCACTGGTTTAGATGTATAAAACTTAGTATGGATGATTCTGTGTTTCCAGTAAGCGTCAGCAAAGGAATTTATATAACTAATCTCCTAAAAATCTGTTCACTTTGATCCTTCCAAATATGGCATCTATGGGGACTCTTATGCGGTCACATGTAATGCTCCCAATTTTCAGCTGTATGCGAATTCTTGTAATTATACCTTCAATATTTAATTTGACCGGCTTTATACCAAGAAATAATACTGATGATGGTACAAAGAATGTGCCAAAAAGGGTAAAACTATAGATTCTAACAGTGTAGATACTATGTGAACATAACTAACAGATTGGTGACACAGAGACAGTGCCATAGACAAAATAAACAAGGTGAATTGGTGCTATGTGCAGAAAAAGAGAAAACCAGATTCATGCAGAACGAATATTTCATCATATTGTTTACAAAAGAATTTTGTTAACGAATTAATACGTAATTTACTCTTAGCTGATAAATCGATTCACCGGAATTTTAATCTGTAATAAAACAAAAGTCTATATAAAAATTAAAAAATAAACCTTTACATACCCAATGTAACCCTGTAACTTTAGTTAGTAAATGCAATAGTAACAAAACATATTAAAATAAGTAGAAAATCTCTTTCTTCAACCATTTTACATCATCATCGTCACATCGTCACACCTTCAAATAAAATAATATAAGAAGTAATTAAAGTATAGTATCTAAAAGTAACTTAGTTGTAAAGTATTAAAATAACGCACTATACTATAAGAATATACGTAAAAGATTATGGGAGCACTATTTAATCTATAAAAAAAACCAGTAAAGTTGTAAGACTGGGTGGGGGAATGATGTAAAAAATAATCTTGATCTCTGTTAATATAGAGGAGAAGTTAACGTCTATGGTATGATGATGATGAAAAAGATAAAGGTAAAAATAAGTTCTCATTTAATAAAAAAATAAAGCATATCAAGTACAATAGTACTCCCATTTTATTTTTCTTGGAGTTATTGTACATATTTTCTATGTAACTATAGCAATTTATCTAATTCCTACCGATAACAATAATCCTAGAATTCTAAATTCAGCTAAATTTAAAAATGATATTTGGATTCTATTTTTATTCAAAGAAATCTTTTCGAAGCTAGTTCGGCTACATAGTGTACTTTGACTTCGACGTTATGGTTCCAGTTAAATCCTCTTTTGTCGGAGACAAAAACCCACTTCGGGTTGCTGCGCCAGCGCAGTAAAATTGATGTGGTATTAAACAATACCTTTAAAAGACATATAGTGAATGAAAACATTAAAGTTTCACGAACTTTCTCTAGTTTCAACAACCAACTGAAAGCACAAATACAGTGAAAACCGTTAAACACTTTAACTCTTTCTTCACACTATGGAATACTCATTGAATTTGATTTAATTCCAACCGCCTTTTGCCATTGCATGGAATTTGATATTGCTAAAAGCAACTTGAAATCACTTTCTAATGGAGAGTTAGTTATAACTGGAAGCATTAATATGAATGTTAGCTAAGCTGTAATAGCTAAATTTCTAATTTACAAAGCGAAGGATGGACCTTTAATGTCCAAAAACGATAACGACTATGTCGAATATAAAATCACTGTACAATAAGATTCGAAAGAGACGTTACCATTGAAACGTTGTCAACACATTGATAAACTAAAAAGATTTTAACAACCACAGAGGAATGAAAGCATCAAACTGCTGAAAGGAGTTACACAGAAAATACCCCACTCATACTTTTTGATTTATCAATGTTTGTGTTATTCGTGCTCGTTTGTTAAACAATCTAATCTATAATCTTAAACTTCGATCAACAATAAAACTCAATCTAAATGTAAATTAAAAAAAAATAATACACAAAAAGGGTTGTTTCATTATCAAATACAAACTGTAACATTTTTAAAAAATAAAAGAAAATACGGTAAATATCTCAACAATTCAGTCATATAGGCTTATGGCGTGTAAGGCATAGACAGCTGAAATCTTCGATGTATTTATATAATGATTGCTCTTAGCAGCAAGCTCATTATCCTAGGTTTAGCGACAGACGTCATAAGATTGTACCAAATAATTGTAATTATAGCGCATGTTGTCATGTATTCTGATTTATGTATCGATTCTGTCGCATTTTATCATCGCTTTCGTAGCGTTTGTCGCTCACCTATTTTAATGAATTAGCGTGTTAATTGGTAATGGTAGTTTATACTACTATTAGCTGTGTAAATCCTTGAATCGATATTATTTGTTTAAACAATCTTATTGTTGATCGAAGTATGGTAACAACATGCTAATTCAAAAGTTAATAGCATTTCCCAAGCTGTGACGACCGGTTTAAATCTGTACTATACCTTAAGCCTCGGGAAGACTTTTGTACATGATTTGAATACTGCCGTTTCTTTTCTGTTATAATTTTCTCTAAAATGAATTATTAGATTAATTTATTTTTGACAGTTTCCCCCTTTTTTTGTTTAATTCCATTCCATGTGGAGCTTCTATTTTTGATGTTATTTTATAAGATTTCATAAGCCGAATAAGAACTTATTGAATAATACCGTATCGTGCATTAAGAAGATTTAAGAATTCGTAACACAAAGGCCTTTTGGTACAAGCTGATTGAGATTCGAACTCGAAAGCTTGTAATATGTAACTTAAATCTAGACATGAAAAATTAACTTTGTACTCACTCGGTGTGATCTTATCTGGTTGCAAAAAACTCTCCGACTCGGGCTGGCTCATCTGCCCGCTGAGGTAGCGATGCTCAACTTCGATAAAATGACCCATGGTGATAATGGTCACGGCAAAATATAGCTATAGACCAAATAAAATAATCATTACGAAAACTTCTCTTAAAGAAAGATTGTGTAATTTACTGATCTAGCTGTTCAACTTAGCTTCAAGTAACCGACTATAGAATATCACCGTCCTAAATAACATATATGTAACGGAAATAAAATAAATAAAATAGCCTTTAATTCAGATCTTATTACAAAGTTAAGGAAAGTATTTCTATACTACTATACAGTTACTTTATTACTCTAGGATTTGATTCTTTTTTATTTGTTTTAGTTTTGCCAATCGACATAGGTATGTAACGGAAATAGTAACTTTAAATTAAAAAGAAAAAACCGAGATTGAAAGTTTAAAAGTGAATTAGGTAAATGACAGTCTGTTTTTATTTAAATTACGTAGATTTATATAAAAAACACACTATCAAAGTAATTGTTACTTCTATGAAAATTAATTGTTTCTTTGTTCTTTGTTAAAGAAATACTACAAATGCCGATTCTTGTATTAGATGCTACAAATATTTAGGTCAAAGTCTTATACATATGGAGATGTAAGATATAAAGCAGTATGTTGTCTTTCGGCAAAGGGCGAAAATTAGTTACGGATGTATTTAATCCCGCACAAGCTTTACGGAATGTTTGTTTCCCTTGTATAAGAAACGTTTCTTGTAATTTCCTTTGTTTTTCTTATTTTATCTCGTAAATGAATATTATTTACCAAAATGTAAGACACAATATACTTTTTTAATGTGTAAACGGTAAAAAAACGATTCAATTTTAATGTGAATTGTTACATTAAATTTACCTCAAAACTTTAACAGAGGAATCCACGTCCGGATTACAAAGGCCTTTTAAAATCTAAATGTAGCTAAATGTAACGTGTGAATTTTTATCTCAAATTTAGTATCGCAATAAAAATATCTTCCATAGAGACTTACACATATACGTTTTCTCTATTTTCACCTTCATCCGAAAAGTATACAAAAGCTCTCAGCTTTCACTTTTGTACGAAAAAATCCCGAACACACAATTAATTTTACCTCTGTCTGTGTAATTTTATCCGTGATATAACAGATTGTTATAAATGGGAGTGTAACTTTTGTAGTTTATCTTAGCATGTGATTATTATGTATTACGTTCAACTTATTACTAATTTAATTTACTATTTACCCTACGACTATAAGGAAAACACGTTAAAATAATTCATCATACTTCTTATCATATAAATGTTACAAATGCGAAAGTTACGATGGATGTTTGTTTGAGTTTGTAGCCTTAACTTCTCAACGGATCTCTGTAAATTTGGCATAGATGTAGAGGAGTGTCTGGAAGAACACATAGGCTACTTAATTTCGTTTTTATTAATTCCACGCGGACGGAGTCACGGGCAAAAACTAGTATACATATTTGAAACCATACAATTTTAGAGCCACTATAGACTAGAGACTTTTAATCGGCCGATATTTTGATGTAACAGAGATGGGTCTTTTACGAAGTTCTTATTGATTATACATTTCAACAGGTAAATAATGTCGCTTTTCCAGACATTTATGACGCTATTATAAAGGTTATGTCTTGTTTAAATGCCTTTCAAATACTCGTATACTGATTTCGGAACGTTTTTACTTACTTAACTTTAAAGTATAACATGTATAAAGAAATAAAAAAGCTTACGTAATCGTTAAAGTGGTAATAACTTTATGGTTTTTTTAAACTCTTCTAGCCTTTTGTTTCCCATTGTAGACAATTTAAGTGACTTTCGTATCTCCTACGAGACGCGTATACCTTTTCACCTTTTTTTTTAAACGTGTACGAATTTATTTATCAATACTGAGTACGAATTGTCTTGTAAATTCAAATTATGATCTTGATGTTTTTTGTAACTTTGTATTAATTTAAAAATCTAGGACTGACGTTTGACTATAAGTCAGAAATACGCTGATGAAATTTGTTTCTAGTTCATAGATTTTAATAAACTCAATTTCAAAAGGCTTCTATACTCGAAATGTATTTATATCCCCTCACACTTAACATTTGACTGCGTAGACTGTTTACCTAGCTTTTTCTTCCCTAAAGTGACGCAAACTCGATCGATGTTAGTTGATCTAAGGCGTTCCCTACCAATGCTGCCAATCACTTTTACACTATAAATTTATATATCGGTCTAACTTACTTAGTACTTGTAAAAAAAGGAAACTTAGGCCAGATTATCACTAATTAACTTATTACAACCGCTACTAAAGCTAGGTTTCTGAAGTTCTCATGTGTTTTATCATTATCCATTCACTAGTGCAAGATCAACACAGTTTTGATTGAGTAAAACTCAAGTTCCGTAGTTCGGAATCTCATTTATAAATTTATGGAACCATGAGCACTATGTTATGGTTAAAAGTAGTTCGGAAACCGCCCATAAGTGTTTTAAATGCCAGTATATTATTGTTTATTGGCATGAATGTTTTTAGACAATAATCGAGAAAGATACTGATTTTTTTAAAATTATAAATGTGAAAGTTTAGATAGGATGTTGGAGAGTTTGTATCCTAAACGGCTTAACGGGTTTCGATGAAATTTGGGACAGATATAGAGGATATTCTGGAAGAACACATAGGCTATTCAGTGTTGTGTTTTTCAATACCACGCGGACGGAGTCACGGGCGAAAGCTAGAACGGAATAAAAAAGACATAGATCACGGCTCCAATAAATATTTTTGTTAACTTATATAGATAGAAACATTATTTAGACTTATAATGGTATGTAAATTGATTGACCTAAATCCATTAATTTCAATAGCGGTTTATTATAAATCGTTTGCCGTTCAACCTTATTTCTTTTTCGACAAAGCTTCGCGAAGAAATCGAAAATTATTTGCGTTCTTGGAGACCGTTGAATTAGTGGGAAAGAGAAAATTTTATTAGAACAAAGAATCGCTAAAAGCTTAGTTGACTGTGAGATTATATCTAGTAAAACGTATCTTCATAAGCATAACTACGAAATTTACGTGGATAAACGGACAATGAAAGATAGGGTAGTTTTAAAGACATTTTTAAATTTGTAGTCTTACTATAAATTTGGCGTTTAAACAAAGGTTTTTTTTACGGATTTTACCTTTGTTAGATAAAGGTTTAATTGTATTTTTTTTAAACTTTAATAATCGTAAAACAAATATCAATTAAGAGTTGAATCTAGTTAAAACTTTATTAAGATCTTTTACAAATTCCTGGAATTGACAAAAAAATGCTAAATCCGCACTACTCGTATAAGTTGTCAACTGAGATCGTAAATTACACAAATCCACAGGAATCGAAAGCTATGGATAGATTTGCCACACATTAAATGTGCGGTTCAACTATCACATATTTTCATTCCGCTCATTCTCTTTAGAAAAAAAAGGGACGACAAGTGTGTCGGCTGTGGAACTTCGCGGTAATATGCGGTATACGTTATCGTCAGTACTGCATACGTTGCCCTGTTAAAATTAACTACACGTGTAATTAATATGTAGAATAATGTATCAACCCCTTTTTACAACTGTCGACAAATCTGCTGATTTCTTCTTTTCACTTTAATAGTAAAAATTCCCAATAGATAAATAAATAAAAACAAAGAAAAATTAAATAAAAAGAGAGAAATAAAATTGTAGGTATCCTGTCCGTCTAGATAAATTAATGTTTGATTATTGAGATCGCTAGAAAAAACGCAGTCAAATAAAATATTAACCACTGGACTGTTATTTCTATGTCTTAATCCCCGTGAAATGGACTTTTAATTTTGTTTCGTAGTCCCTTTTTATAAATACCATGGTGTAAGTCCCTGATGCATAGCAGCCCCTACGCAGGCTCCTCCAACAGCAGCAAGACTTGATTAGCGGCATTTTGATGTTGTTGTGCCTAGAAATGAAAATTTATTAATAATTGTTAGTGTTGTTAAAACATGCATATGCACTCAGTATAGCATATGTGAATTTAATAATGTCTGTGGGTAGTTCAATGTTTAATTGCGGTCAAATAAATACAATATAAGTTAAATATAATATCAAAATTAATTTGGATACATTCGAAATCTGGAAATCTTATTTTTAAAATATAACAGCATCTGGGTTACTTCGTGTAATTTTCATAGTCTCAACATCTACCACAACATTTTCTTTACCAAAAAAACAAGGTTAGCAATAGTCTTGTTGTATAATTATATTACTCGCATCACTACCTTTCGAAGTTTCTTTGATATTATTCAGGAAAGTGGAAAGAGGTAACAAAAAAAAAACTTGCGAAACTTATTCCATTTTCATCAAACTAACATTTCATGATACGACGGAACAGAATCAGGGAGATAGAAATCTTTTCCTCCAACTTTCCTCGAAGGAAGGAAGTAATATAACAAGAAGCCATAAATTATAACATGATAAATACCTATTGTTTTTTTTTTCTTTTCGAAACCTTGAAAATATATCCTTTCAAAATATCTCAGAAATATTCTATCGCTTTTAAATGTGGGTATAAATAAGGTTAACGATAATCGCAGTAATGAAATAATTAAAATGTATGAAGGAACTAATATTCGGTGTTGTCGCTATACTCGTAGATCGCACATCATTGCCTCGTATCGCATTTCATTGTTTACCTAAAAAAAAAACTAACTTCTTATTTACAAAACGAAAACAAGCTTTAGTTAAAGTTAGGTATTTCGAAAAAAATCTGATTTTTTTGACGATTATTGAAATTACATCTACATACGTCTATAAATTATAACCATTTATAAGATTTGTCCAGCATGTCAAAGGATTTCATAACGCTGGACTGAGGGTAGTTGAACTCAATGTCGTTACTCTCATATTCCTTCGTCGCCGACATTTATTCTTATTTCAGACCGTCTGAATTTTGCATTACTTATTTCATAGTTTGATTAGACTCATCGGTGTTCCTAAATGTTTCTATATCAAAGCCAGTTGTGTGAAGCGATATTTTCTGTGCAATATTATCATAACAAGATAATTAGAACCAATCTGCAAAAATGCCACATTAGGACAAGAATAATTCTGGCAATAAGTTGGTCAAATCCCATTTTCGTCCTTTAACTTCCTTCCATTTTTGGTTTTCTTCCATTTTGTGCTATATTTGTACTCGTATTTAAAAATTTAACCATTTGTTTCAGTAGGATTTATAACTTGTAAATCGTTGTAGTTATATTTAATTTGTCAGTACATGTGTAACGTATTGTTTGGGTCTAAAAATAGGTCCAGTATTAGGGCTGTAGCTATAAGGGCTATCGTAAGTCAATTGTTATATTTTGGATATCATATTATATATAATGTAATTTGCTGCTCTTTTCAATGCCAGAAGAGATACTTCGATTACTTTGTCCAAATTCGAGAAAAAAGAATGGTTTCACGCTTAAATAATTGGGCGATACGATAAGTAAGTCTTAGAAAAGATGTTTTTTAATGATGCATGTTATTATTTTTGAAAAAGGTGCAAATTTTTCAATTATTTCTCGTTCGGGTAATCGAATGTCTGTATAGAAAAGAGTAAAAGTAAAGAGTAAAACATTAGATTGATTTGATTGTGAAAGAATGGACGCGACGGTAGCTATATTACAAGCAATAAAATCCTTAAAATTAAGGTTTGTGTTCGGAAAGAAGAAGTTGTATTGACCTATTCACGCCTACCCATTATCGCGGTATCTTAAGCGCCTTAAAGAGCAAATAAATTATCACTTGTAACATTTCTACTACGTGCTCAATAAGTAATTGATTTCTATGATTGTATCTCAAGTACTTATAATACATAATATTTTATGTAAAGAGAATTGATTCGTGAAAATTGATACACGATAAAAATTTCCATACGAATGCTGCAAAAGATATCAGGTGGAATTTTTATCTCACGTATAAGGTAAAGTGAGTGATATTTCTCGTAATTCTCCGTAGGAAATATACCTGGCGTTGCTAGCGTTGAATTGTTGATGTTCCCGCTAGACGAGAGCATTGAGTTTTATCGCTGAAATATTGATACATAATATACTAGCTTTTGCCCACTTCTTTGTTCGTGTTGATATTTTTGTAAAAGGAGTAGGCGTGTTTTCATTTTGTAAACTTACTGTTTTTTTAAGATATTTTTTTTTTATTTCATGATCAAGGATAATCATTTTAAATTTATCGAAAAAGTATCTTAAAGATATTGTTTAGTGAAAACCCTATTAACATTTTTTGTAAAAACAAAAGAGATCTTTAATTATTACATTTTAAAATTTTTGTCAGATTATATTACTTTTAAAATTTACTTAATCAATATTTTAACTTGCTGCGTAGATACAACCCTATTTCTCGACGTGCTTAACTATTTCAACAAGTGATTTATAGTGACGGAAAAATTGAATTATTATCCCTATATGCCCAATTCAAATAAACAAACGGATTATGTATGAACGTCTTAAACTCAACGAAAAGCTGTTTAACCGTTCTTAAAATACGTTCGCACGAGAATTCGAGAGTGCCGTAATATTTTGGTTTGTATAAATACTAACTTTTGTATAATATTTCTGTAAAGTTTTACTGACCAAAAAAATGCTCAGTATTTTGATGGCGTATAAAACGAAAAAAAAAAAACTGTTAATTACGTATTTCTGTATTATAAAAGATTCGTTAAATACGTTTTTTGTTTGGACACAAATATCTTAATTTGTCTCATCATCAGCCTTTATCTGCCCACTGCTGGATATAGGCCTTCCCCAATTCCAATGAGGAAGTTCTCTAATTTGTATTGCTTTGTTTTTTGCCTCAATCAAATTTGCTTTAATATTTATAGCGTACGTTTTAATACTTATAATCTCGTACTTATAAAGTCAGAAATAGGTGTTGTATTAGTAAATACCTTAGCGAAATAAATTGATAATTAACGATATAATTAACATAGTTGTATCGTAAATTGAACATGTAAATTATATCTTTAGATACTGGTTCGAAAGAATATAGGGGTCAAGATAAATAAACATAGTGAATATTTGTCTAGCTGGTAATGTTTGTTTTCATATCTAGGTGCGTTTTGTTTGTTTCCATGCCAATGGTATGCATACCAACCCTATTCTCAGCTTATTGCGCGTACTTCACTTTAAATAGGTCTAGATAAATGTTTTGTTTTTCTTCGTGACAAAAGAATACTTCAAAACAAGTCGTAATACTACACCATTGACACTGGTTGTTTTGATTTCAAAAGTGATTTCTATCTTTATTTTACATTTATTGTCATTTATTTACTCACTAATATTATGAATGCAAAAATTTAGATGGATAGACAGATGGATGAATGGACGTTTGTTAGAATTTGTAGCCTAAACGGCTCACCGGATTTCGATGAAATTTGGTATAAATGTAGATGTAATAGTCTGGAAGAACACATAGGCTACTCACTTTTGTTTTTTTTAATTCTACGCGACAGAGTCGCGGGCGAAAGCTAGTTTATTTATAAAATAAATACCGTACAAATTGTGATTTATCTGTTACAATATTTAACCAGTGAATTTCACCGCAACACGATCAATCAACTCTCGAATGAATGAACAACGTAAACGATTCTCAGCTTTTATCCCTCGTTTCTTAATATTTACCGTAATAATATATACTAAAGAAATGTTGAAATATAATATTTTTAACCAGACTAATAATTAAGAGTTTTTTTGACTCTTCAAAAGAAGCAGAGGGAGTACTCAATTCGTCTGTAATTCTTTTTATGTGTATTACACGGTATCTCTGGCTCCGGAGGACCGATTTTGAAAATCCTTTTTTTTATCCGAAATGTAGTGCTTGCAGGTGGGTCGCTTTTTTTTGTTTATTTTTTTTATTTGTTGTTCAATTTATTACATTTATAGATTTACAGAAACTTTTATTGGTTGACTTTCATTTATTTCATTAAAATCGATGCAGCTCGTATTAAATTTTATGAAGATTCTTCAATATTAAGATAGCTATGAATTCCAATGTCCAAACTCCAGAGACAATTGCGATGTTTTAGAGCTACTCCAAGATTATCTGAGATTAGGAAAACACGCTCGCGTCTATTCTCGTCCGATAGCTTTCTTACAGTGTTTGTCTACTTTGCTGTAATATCATATTTTAGAATGAAAGGCAGCGCAAAGATCAAATTATCGATGTTCTATCGTCAAATATTTACAAAAAATATTCATAGGAACAATTTTTTTTATTCAAGATTATAATCAAGTGCTGTCAATTTCACAGCCCATTCTCTTAATTTCTTTTTCTAGAATTGTCGCAAATTTTGTCTGTTGTTATTTCTGTGTTTCTAATTTATTTTTGTTCATCGAATCTATTCGCACTTACGCAATGAAAAATTAACATTATTCGTGTTTTTTTTATCCGAAACAATTTTCTAAAAGCTACCTTTTATCCTTAAGAAGGAAACCATTTATTTATCTCACCACAACGTTGAAAAACAGAAAACATTGCGGTTAGTGTATACGACATGGATGATTGATTTATTTTTTCCTCCAGACATCTATCTGTGGAGTTCATCTATAGCTCCCTGTCATATCTGACATCCCTCGAGGCAGCTCAGTACACTCGACTTATATTGACAAATAAGCTCTACTTAGTCAATATAAAATATTTTTCGAAGATGTTTGATTAATACTGGTCTGCTGAAGTTGATTTCTTCTTTACAGATGAAACATTTTTAACATTAACACTTTTAAGGGTAGATTAAGATTACGTTTTGTCTCTTAGACTTTCTTGTTTATTATCTCTTTCCATTTCCCTTTTTGTCTTTTCTCTACACGTATCTCGTTTGCCGTTTCCAACATTTTCGGTACTTTTAGATTATACATCCCAGTGTTTTTAGCAAGCGAGATTTAAAAGTATGTCTATATTTTTTCCTAGTTCAGGTATGATCATGTCCGCTCTGTGCCACTTAATTTATTTTTCCGGTCTCAATCTAACCTCGTTACTATCTTACCAAAGGATTACATTGTAGTAGTAGTAAAAGTACATTGATTAATTTGGATATTATATTTTTATAATCTCATTTATGCATTACATGCTTTGGGCTTTGAAAATGTAAAGATGCTTTCTATCAAGTTAAAGCTATAGCTTTTTCCATCAAGTTTTTCTATCGTACATTCATTATATACTGAAATTACGATTTTGTTAACGTGTAGAATTTTTCTGCTAACAAAATGAGAACATATTTGTTTAATCAGTATCCCGTTTTCATTAAGGTTTTTCTTAAAAGCTTTATAAATGAAAAATGAGTAAGGAAAGCATATTAATTATTAACGTTGACTTTATCTGCCATTAAACGCAAGGCAATATTTTATCGACTAGAGAGCTCAGAATGGAATTGCTTGAAAATTACTTGGCTTAATGGATGCCTAGATACGATTATAGCTATTTGTCGTTCATTTTCTATCATGCCGATAATAAAACCATACTGGTTTATTATTAAAGTTAATAATTCACTTTGTCTCCCTCTTATCGGTCATACGTTTTCAGGAAAATAAATTTCCAATAGAATTATTTTGCACGATATGTGTTGTCTTATACTCTTGTAAAGCGCGGGCACACCTTTGACTAATATCAGATAACTGTTTAGTCGCACTTTGATTTCTATGATTTTATTTGTGGGCACAGTATTCGATTTTTAATTGTGCAACTAAACAGTTCAATTGTCTGCGAAATAATCGACAATCGCACTTCAGCCGCTCTTAGTGTCCATAATTTTGTTCCATAATGTCCTAATATTTATTTGAATTTCGAAAACTGTATCTTTGCTCGTTTCCGTAAAATATTATTACGTTCAATTTTGTGACGGTATAATTTAACTATTTCAAATCTAATCAAGATGTTGTCTTTTGATTCGGCCTACATTTCTAAGTCATTCTGTATCATTCTTCAAGGTTTGAATTCTAAGTTATGAAGGTCTTTTATTTTATTTGTGTTCTACCCCCTTTGGTATTGTCGCAAATTATAAAATTGACTTAGATTTTCTTTTTAACTGGCATCACATTTCGCATCCTTATTCTCTTTGGATCAAATTAAGGTTTAAGTCCGATCTTGGTTAGAATCCATTTTGAAATTGTGACTTAATAAAAGTGTCCTTATTCCAAATTTATCAATTTATTTGTGAGAAGCAGTTGATTTCACCTCTTTCAGTCCGTTTTCTTAGACCAGATTCGCGTTTTATCTTCAAAATCTCTTTATCTTTCGCCCTATTTGGTCATTCGCAAGCTGGATATTTCATCAGTCTAGTCTTGTCGTCAATTATTTCTTAGGTTTTGTCTTCATTAATGTTAGTAATAAAATCAGAAATGTCAATTCAAAACAACCTGCCTCCTATTTTGTAGACCGCAAATCATTTGTAACTGTTAAGAGATACCTAACATTAATTGCGTAAACGCATGATATAAAATGAGGGTACCCACAACAAAGGCCTTCTATTCAAGATCTCAACAAATAACATTTATTTAACCATTTTCTCAGTTAGGGAAAAGGGATCGTAGTCGAAAGTCATTTATATCCCGTTAGAGATGTCCTCTTCGTTTTATTATCGTGTTAAGTTTGTCGATACTTTAAATGTAGTAATTCATTTGATGTCTATTCTATGGATGCTGATTTTTTTAATTCATTGTCGAATTCAAAAAATTACACGAAGTAAACCATTTATGCTGTTCTAATAATACCAAAAATTATATTGCGAACTCAAATTAATTGATTCGGATCGCAACAAATGATTATTGTAAAATATCTGCATAATAGTTTAACAAGTCAGTCTTCTTAATCTAAAAAATCATAAAAACGCACAGCAGAACAAAGCTCAAATGAGTTAAGAAAAGCTAACCTTTGCCGATTCAAAACGCAAAACCGAACTATCTAAAAAGGAGGGTAGAAATACACATCTTGAACGCCGTAGAAAAATGTTGAACTACCTTCAATATTTTTTGTTAATAATAATGCCGCTCACCTATAAAGCTGTACAAATACAATAACAAGCTATTAATGAATGTCATAGCTCATTCATAAAGTAGAAAGCAGTGTACAATCGCAAACAAAAGTGTCTTACACTCTTGCGCATCTATCTTCCAAGCGTCGAAGAAATGTCATTACTACCCTACTTCTTGTAAGAACTTTAAAATGATTCGTAATTGTACCCGTATTGTCACTTGATCAGTACAAGGTACAATGCAGAACAGTGCATTCAAAAATGCAAAATTAGGCAAATTAGCTCCTTCAATTTGATATTCTCTCGATTTTTGTAGTAAATGTGTAAGTCTTTGAGCTATTCTTTAAAAAACACACTTTTTAATCATTAAATTTCGCTGAAAAAGTTTGGTCCAATTTGGCGTCATATGCTTATTGCCTATTATGCGCACAGCTCTTTATATACACCAAAAATATACAAAACCTGGAAAATGTACCAAAAATATATTCCCAAAGTATAAAAATAAAATGTTTTTTAAAGTACTTTATCTACTTTATTAATAATCCTCACATTTTATTCAAGTCCTTTGTTTAAAATGTAAAATTACTAGATGAAAACATTTTTAAAAAAATCTTTGGGAAAATATTTTTACAGACAAAATATTTTCAACAGCTTCAATGGAAATGGTTTTTAAAAGAAACTACGCAAACTTTTTTCTTCAATCCTTTATTTAATTTAATTCTGCAAATAATAAAATCTTCATAGACGTCGCAGCAGCAGCTCAGCTAAAAAAAGGGAACCAAAAAATATGCAAAATAAAACTTAAATTTTTCATCTGAACATAAAACATATTTCGATTCTTGTAAAAATTTACGGTCTTTTAAATTTTATCATTTTCCGATCAAATGTTTACGATAATTAGGAATTTATGACTTAATAGGTTGTCTGAAAACGTATAAATAATGACAGAAAACCAAACATCTTACACGTTTTGAGCGCGGACAACAAAAGCTAAAAAATACTGTGTCAAGTTTGAAATAAAAAGACAAAGTAACCTCTTTGTTTGTATTAACATAAAAGCTTTGATAGCTTTAGTAATTAGGATAAGAGAGAATTAAAATTTTACACGGTGTTTTTATTGCAGAAAGAATCCAAGAAGTAATAATTTTTAAAGACTTGAAAATTATACGGTTACTGAAAACTTTTACGGCTTCCGGATTTTTATTTAAGTAACAAGTTTTGACTAAATAAAAATAAATGTCTCTTAATTTTTTTTTTAAATTACCAAAAAAAAATAATTGAAAAAGCGGAAATTAATTCACAACTTAAAAAAAACGCTTTACTTACCTTTTGTGGTCAACCTCTTGCCTCGAAAGTCTGGTCCCAGGTCATCACACACTCACTGGTAAGTTAAGTAAAGTTTTGACACTTGTCACAATTTTTCGCGTGCCTCAGTTTCAGTTGGGCAGAAACTGAGGCGGGCGGGTGTTGGGCCGCGCGCGACTTTCCGGGGCCAGACTTCGTTCGGAGAGAACCGTCCAACTAGGACGGCGTTCCGCGAGGGACTGATCTCTCCTCGGTTGCTTCGCCTTATATTGCTTCGCTAGCGACCTGCGCAGTTTTACTGCCATGCCACCCTTCGCCACCCTACGCCACCTTACTCATCCTCTTACAAGTAAGCTCGCCTCTCCGTTACGCCTTTTTACCCCACCTGCGTTATAATATGATCATTAGTATTGAGCTTATTTTCCTTTATATTCATAACAGCGGAACAAGTTAAATCAGATTTTTTTCTTATGTTTAATCCTAATATTTCTCAGGGACTAGTAGCTACAGTATTAAGTGACTCTTTTTCAAAAAAAGTCCGCTCATAGATTTTTTTAAATCTTTTCTAATGAAGTCAAATATTTTACAGAGTTACACCAAAGTTTAACGCATCATATTGAAGTAAATCTAAGTTTCCTAAAAGTAATACTAAATTTTGTTTTTAGCACAAATATTATAAACAACTAGATTTTGCACGATTCTCCATCCCCTTGCCGCTTGCCGTTCTGCCGCTTAAGCCGCAAGTTCTAACAAAAATCTGAATGGATCTGTCCATCTAAAACAAACGTAAAAGTTTACAATATTAGTAAGATATCTTTCTGTAAGTTTTTATGAATGAGATAAGAAATAAGATAATTGAATTTTCAAAACTTAAAACTGTTACCCTTGAATTATGGAAATGTTAAAGAGAATAAAATTAATTCGTCTGGCGAGAGGCGGGACTCTGAATCTTATGAAATATTAAATACTTTTTAATAGAAATATCATCTTTCTGTGCGTTCCCTTCACGTCGCATAAAGATAGGCAACGCGCTGGCTATTGTGGATGTCTATCGCCAGCGTTCACTTCGCTATTAAGGCGAATTTAGATGGCCCTTTACTTAATGTCATATAATGTTAGCGATATTTTTATACGACATATAAATATTGATATTAAGAAAAAAAACGACAATGATTCTAAAATAAAATTGACTTCATCTTTACAAAATGTGTTGAGTAAAATATTCCGTAAATGAACGTCCTGAGAAAACCGACTCCAATTTAAAGTTAAATTGGCCAATCAGGTTTAACTGTGTACCATAAGAAATAATTTATAGGGTTGACGACCGAAATAGAGATCATCAACTTCCATATATGAAAAGGAAATTTAAATAGGTAAAAGCGTTTTTAATAACAAGGCCACGCTTTAACTCCAAATTGCATTAAAACTTTAACGTCTGACAGATTGTAAGCGACGCTCACGGTGCGAAGTGTTTTCAGCCGTGAGACAATTGTTAAATTAAATGCACGGAGTGTGACTGAGGTAGCCATCCCTACACATCACTGTAAGGAGCGTAATGGCGTATTTGATTAGAATAATGGCGTCAGTAATTTTTCATGTAACTAACTAATACAATTTTTGCAAAGTAACTTTGTTCCCCAGCGATTTTAAATGGAGTTAAATTTATGTGCTGCGATGACGAAAGTCTGTTGCTTCGAATCTTTCCTTAGGGACTGAGAATATTACAAACAAAAGCTTAAAAATAGAAAACGTGTTTCTTGAAAAATATGTCGATAATGATATATTACGAAAATTGATTATTCTCAGTCACCAAGACAACTGATATTATAATGAAGGCTTTTATATAGCTGTAATCTAGCGATTAAATACTGCGTTGAATTACAATTAGACGAACGTAAACACTGGAAGCACTATTTGTGACGTTTCTCCAATATTATAAATTTAGATGGATGGACGTTTTGTTGGTGTTTGCATCTAAACGATTAAACGGATGTTGATAAAATTTGGTATAGATGTAAAGCATAGTCTAGAAGAATACCTAAACAACTCACTTTTGTTTTTTTTAATCCCAATTTCATTAAAATGTTAATGTTATTTTCATTATCAGTAACGCAAATACGCGAAATCTAGAATTTCACTTTCGATATTACATACAAATACTCCAATTTTATTGTTTGTATCGATATTGATATAGTTTATATTGAAACATGAAAAGTATATTAATCATAACGTTAAGATATTTGTTTGCTTTCACGATCTTAATCTCCTTAGGAAAGAAAACACGAGCTTCACAATTTACGAAAACACGTTTTCCAAAGATTAAATACTTAGTGCGAAATACTGCTTAAAAATGAAATTTATTTTCTATTTGTTGATCATAATATTTTGCTTTAAACCTAATATAATTTCATAGAAAGAAGATAATACTTTAATCCAATTAGGTAATGTTTTTACTAAGTTCTTGTGATCCAAGTTGCTTCTATTTGAATATTTCAGTCTCGAGATCTTATTTCAATATTTGTCAACAAATTAATGAGGTAGCATCAAGTGCCAGAGATTGAAAGTTCAGACGAATCGGGACGTGATAAATAAAGTATTTTCACATAAACATAGCTATTGTTTTTTTATTTAATTTTATTACATTATTAAAAAAAAAAACGAAAAAAAAACAACGTAGTCTATCCAGTTTAAAACTAATAGACGATAAAAATACAAGAATTTATTTATTCATTAAACCTATTTTAATGAGACAAATACTTATAATTTACTGCAACTAAAGATAACATTTTTATTAAAACGTTATAAGCTTTAGGTAAGGCGAGTATAAAGTATCTTCTGAAACTTTTGTCGCAATTGGATTACAAGGGAAGTTTTAATTATACATTCTGTCATTCTTGAAGCGGCTTTTTCTCGAACAGGCGAGTCAGATAGCGAGCGTAGGCGGCTCGGAGGTTAACGCACACTTAACTTGTAATCTACAGGTCTTGGGTTCGAATCCTACCATGTACTAATGTGATATTTTAATTTCAAATATACATAATTTACTTTACGTTACTGTGATGGTGACATTGTGAAGCAACTTGCAAATATCGTCGAAGATATTCAAAAATATTTGTGTATTTGACCAACCCGCAGTGGGCCAGCCAGGTTGATTATGGCGTCATCTCGCACTTGGGGTAGGCTCCGAGTCCTTCTTTGGGGATGTAGAGAGATTGATAAGGTAGAACACCGATGATGTTAGATTTACGATTTTCTACTTTAAAATGTTTCTCTTCTTACCACTTTAAGCCTGAACTAGATACTTTTTGAATCATTTCATAGATTGACATTCATGCCCACAATTTAATAGAAGTTTTTTTTATCGATCAAATCTATAAAAAAAAACTGAACGTACTAGTTGTAAGTTCAACATATTTACTAAGTTTAACGTGAAGCGTTGATCGTTCTATATAGATAAATCATAATTAACTAACATCATTACGTTCAAGCTATTAAATGCTGTTATAAAATACGTGTAGAGCCGGTATATTTATGACCGAAAGGTGGGCTGGGCGTTGGCAAATGTATGCGTGTGGGTCTCATCCTTCGCATATAAACTACGTAGATAGACTCGCAAATCGGGAGTGGAAAGGCTCCAAGGGAATTGCTTTCTTCCTCTATCAAATAGGAGCTATCTCGGGCAGGATATTATGATCAGTCACATTATGCGTATGTGCAACACAGTGCATTGTTTTCTATTTATTGAATGTTGATTTCAATCGATGTTTGTTCGTTATGTAGACGTTCCCATCCTTTCATTATGTAGCCTGAAAATGACAAAAGCTTACTGATAATCAGTTTATTGAAACTTAGTGATTTGAATTTTAAACTTGAATCGAACCCAGCAAAATTGTTTTTTTATAATTAGTTGGTTTAACATCTTTTTAATATTAAAAACAGACTCGCTAATCATCTTAATTGTATATATTAAACCTTTTATGCAAACCGTTTTGCTATCGCCCACACGAACCTTGAGTTTAAATTGCCCCTACGCTCAACAAAACATAATTTCCCTCTGTTATTTCAAAGGAAATAAATCTCGTTATCTAGCTTGTTACAAAGGTTATTTCTGTTCCAGATTTTTCTATAAAAATTAACCGCGCACTTTGCTGCAAGTGAAGGCAAGGTTAGCCCGCGCGGCGCGTGTAACGGCGATTCTCTGAGAAAATATTAAAAAACCTTTTTATTACCCACCAAGAAAAATGTACTGGAAAATTACACGCTATTAAGCAAATAAATTATAATTGCCTTGTTCCTCTATTGTGGTTGAGATGTGGATTGTAAGAGATATAATAGAAAATTAATTATTATGAATGCAGCACACGATAGGTTCGTATAAAGGTGAACCTTGCTGGCATAAACCAAGTTCATAGTAGACAAATTTACAGTTTTATGACACTCACAGTAATGCCAACAGGTTAGATAAGTTGCGTCATGAAAAACCTATCGTGTGTGGTTGGCATAATTTAAAATACTACAGTATTAATGTACTCCGTCTTAAAAAAATTTAATCTAAATTTAATAAAAGTAAATGTTAGGACTCAAAAAAAATAGCTGGCAACTTACAAAGGAATAAAATTGTCTTAGTCTCTGGGAATCATTAATTAAAAAGCTTAAAAGCGCATTGGCACACAACAGGCACTGAATGTCCCTTCGGGAAGCAAAGAGGAGGAAGCAAACTTAGCTACAAAAGCAATTTCATTATTAAGACTACATGTCGATGTTTCATTTGGTTTTTATTTTCCTTGAAAGAACAAGGCTCTATTCATTTATTAGAACTGCAACTTTGTAAAACTATATATAAAAAAATATATAAACAATTTATTTCCTATGAAAAACTTGAAAATGTTCATACCAAGGCTCTGTTATACAAATTACAAAAGTTATTAAATACGAGTATAGTGCAATATCGATAAATAATTTTGATGTAAACATTTGGTTACAAAAAAAAGATTGAAAATGTTTTGAGCGTCAACTGTTAGTGCGGTAGACGCGTAGTTGGTTACGTGAACACCGTACCGAGACATTTTCCATCAACCGCTACGACATTTCTGACGTAGAACTGAATAAACTAGCAACTCAAACATACTTTATTGCTAAGATACAATTTTTCTACTTTCCTCAATAGCGGCTCATTTCATACATAAAATTAAAATACAGTTTTTA